ATAATAATAATAATTATCTGTCTGGCAAAGCCTGACAATGGCAAATGCCTACATCTAAAGAAAAGAAATGAAAAAAAACAACCCATCTTAATGATAGGAATACGAGCATTTGTTGAAACGAGAACTTACCAGAACTTCCTCCACGGGCTAGCTTTGTTTAATTAACAATGACAACCAGAACATAGATCTATCACTTAACATTGCAGCTGGGAATGTGGCTAGACTAGGCAGATTCTATCAGGACCTCTGTCTGAACTATCTCCGGAAATGATCTCTTACTACTGAGATTACAAGTGTTTTTGCACACAGTAAAACCATAATTTATTATTTTCACTTCCGTGTTTTGGTTGTGTCCATAACAAGAGTCGCTCACGCAAACAAGGGTGTAGTACTTAAGCTCATTGACATCCTGCTCTTAAAATGCGAAAGCAAGGTCAAAAGTTCCTTTTGTTTGAACAAGTACCGATATCGTAAACAAATAGGTGCAAGGCGAAGCCTGTGGTCATGATCAACAAATACATACACACTTCCTGTTTTCGATCCTGACAAGTAAACCCGCTCGTTACGACCCTGGTATGTTGAAAAAAAGAGAAGATGTATCACTACACAATCAGAAATTGTGTGTATGAAAAATAACAAAATATCACTTAATGAACCCAGATGCAGTCACCAGCTCAGGGTGCCTTAGTCACCCCGACCATGCCAATAACTAACTTATGGTATCCTCTGTCGAAACCTTATCTTACATTTTTTTTTCTTTCAAATACACACATTTTATGGCTCATCTGACTAATTAGTAAGAGTCTAATATTCCCCTTAAAACATATTAAGTGCAAAAGATGAGGAGGTACTCACCGAATTTTGCAAGAATCTTTCAGAGGTCGTTTTCAAATGCAGACCTTAGCCATCTTAAAACAAGAATCAGGTCCTCATGTAAATACACCATAAATTAATTACACTTTTAGATAAATTATGCATTCAAAATGACTTAAAGTCACTTTTGATATAGAAAAGAAAATCTTTAAATTATCAAAACATTTTCACAGTCTTAAGTCATTTCCATTAGTCATTATGTATGTATGTATGTATGTATGTATGTATGTATGTATGTATGTATGTATGTAT